GTGTCAGTAATCCCGGCATTACGTTATCGAAGTCACCACGGAAGCACATCAGAAATTTTGTATTGACGCAAAATTTGACTCTACATTACACATTCAGCGATGACAAATTAATAACTAAATATCAACGATGATGTGTCTTCAAGACTTAACTAGTGCAATAGGAATAAAAGCAAAAAACTATACTCATACAAGCAAAATTTATGGCACTGATTTGTTGAAGGCGTCCGACTGATACATCAGACTCAACTACACTTTAGTATTCATTTCTGTGCAGCCTCCTGACGTTTCAGCAAGGCTAAATTATGCTTCAACACCGAAGTCTCTAAGTTTACGTATTCCAACGCTAGCTTTCTATTGGAAAATGATGAATCGTTGCTATCGCCATAGACGCACGACGATGGCGAATAACGAGCGAGGAGGAGGTTGAGTCTGGCATCGAGGAATTTCCTCGCCGCCGCGACCGTCTCGGGACGGAAGACGTCGTCCACCAAAAAATGGGCATCTCTGTGTTGATAATGGTGATCGCTGAGAAGCACGTCCAATTCATCCGGTTTCGCTACGAATACCGCGGCGAACAACAAAAGTTCATTGGACAACGTAGGCGAATTGGAACTGAGCACAAACTTCGCCTTCGGGCTCAAGTGGAAGTCCGCCAGAAGTGCGGCACGTCTCCCGAAGTTTTTGTCACTCTTGGAGATGCTCAGGTTCAGTTCGAAACGGTCAGCGGTGTTGCCGGGGCAGACGAAACCATTGAGGAAGAAGAAGTCTCGGTTCGGTCGTGGCCCGTAGTAGATAAACACCTGCTCACCGGGCGTATACTCCCGAGAGGCGAACACCCGTCCAACGTCATCGTCGAAGTCCGAGCACTGCGGCACTTCAGCGTGGTTAAACATGTCCAGGAAAGGGATCATGGCCGGTACTGAGACGATCTCACGGCCAGGCTCTAAATCGAGGTCGGTACCGCTAGCTGGTACGAAGTTGATCCTGGTCATAACTGTGCCAACAGCCCAACGGTACAGCCGAAAGGTAAAACGCCTGTCTCCAAACAGACCGTCATGGAACCAGCTGTGATCGACGGTGGCCGCCCGTTGACGGAAATATGCGTACTGCCGCACCACCGAACGGGACAACCGGAGTACATCGTCGAAACATGAACAGCCTTTCACCAGCTGCATGTCATCGATCGAGAAGAACAACGGCATTGCGTATGCTTCCGGCAACATGTCTAGGTACGGCTGCCAAAATGACCGCTGACCGCGCAGCTTCTCATTGGCGACACAAACGGCCAATGCCACGTTGCTCATCTCCCGAAGCACAGGGTCGGCGGCGAACGCCGTCTTCATTTTGCCCTTGCAGGCGGCGTCCACGGTCAACATCGCTCGCCGAGGCACCTCCAACAGCTTTGTACCATAGGCTAGCGGTTGGTCGGCCACAACACCCCAGCCAAAACCGGTAATCGACTCCAGCCGAACGCCGTGGCTTCGAATGCCGACCTTCGTGCACCACTCCACGAACGACGCCTTGCGAACGTCATCAGGTTCCTTCTTGATCCATTCGCCGTCGTCGGCCTCCTTCTGTAAGTCCATCAGCTTCGTCACAAGACCGCTGACTTGCTGATACTCGTCCCACAGAAAAGCGCTGCTTGCCGGTACCTTCTCTGATAGCAAACCGAGCAGCTCGGACGTGATGCTGTAAATCTCGTTCTCGCATGTTTCCGTCTGCCTTGCCCGTTCTTTACGACTCATATCTAAAGTGTACTACAAAACGAGTCAAACATTCAACGATTAAAAGATTTAACTTTCATATCCAACAAAACTGCAGTCATATTTCAAGCCATCTAGCGCAACCTTAAGACCCTCACAACGGTATACTGTATAGTTTCGTACCTATGTTCAGGTTATGTCAGTTTTCTTCAGTCTTGTCTGAAGTTGTTGAACGTTACAACACTGCGATTCTATTAAGTCCAGAATACTGAGATATAAATCCACCAAGTAGGAGTTTCCGTCAAAATGCGCTCTTCAAGCGTTTGCTTATACGTTGAATAGATATGTGCATACTGTTCTGTATTACGTGTATAACATGTCCATGTTATGTTCTGAAATCTACCGTAAAAGATTGTTCGCAACTGGTCATTACATAAATAAAATTATTTCCTGACACATCTGGGCATGGCACCATAGCAGCATGTCGTTGACAAACAACACTGGCGCTTGGTTAGGTGCTGCAGCGCCGTTAAGTCAAGCCGAAAACGACAACTTCTGCCAGAACGATTTATGCACAGGTGAACACGGAATAGTAGCATGGTT